AAAAACACACCATAGGTGATAGTGCTTAACCAAACATATTTAAGAAGGCACGGATCAGGGAGAAGTGTTATGGATTTTCAATCCCTTCCTCTGTGCGGAGAACGATAAATTTGAATTTGTTTTCCCATTATTGACAATTCTAACATAATGGAGCAGAAAATAACTTTCGGTTGCTCACCTGCCCATTCTAATGCTTTAAACCCTGTATAAAGCAATCCCTAGTTTGACCCTGTTAGCAAAGTAACTTCTCTTTAGGATTCTATGACCTTGGCAAATGCTCAACCTATGCAACCAATCACATTKAAGAAATTCATTGACGTTGCATTCTATTCGAAGATATCGACAAGATCAGTACAATTYGAGCTATAGAAGTTCAGAATTGATCGTATTCGTTCTGTAAGTTGGTTTTAGTTCTATTTCCCAAATCCATTGAGAAGAAATGACAGTTTTGTGCAAGATTCTGTTTTCTTTATGTGCTCTTGTTACTTGTGTAATGACTGCTAAAGATGTCGGGGGAAACTCAAGCAAAGCTTTGGATTCTTCTGCGTCACAGATAGCAGCTTTATCAGCTCTTTTGAAGAAGACTCGAGCTGACTTGGTGAGCCTGATGTCAAGGTGGGTATAATATCATTGTATATATATCAATGCAACAATTAGACATAGTAAAGAATCCATGGTTCAGTCAGCTTTCTTTTGTTTAATAGTCTATCGGCCATTTTTCACTGCAAGATAAAGAGAATATGGACGATTCCATGTTTTATATATCTATTAAGTAAGCTGATTGAAAATCTTTTGGAAGACTTTAACAATGCTCACAATGCTATCACATGATCGGGGATTTGAACCCAAAATAAATTTAAATGTGCTTGAACGTGTTTGAACTTATCGTCGATGTAAATCTCAAAACGGTYGTTGTATCATGTTTGCCATTTTTGTATCGACGCAYCATTTTGTTTTGATAATTAAAGACTAAAATTTGGTCAAATGCCTATACAAGCTAGCAAATTTGTTGCGCAATAGGCGG